TTAACATTAATGACTCCCAGAAAACACTACGCTATTTAAAGACGCAATGCTTCGGTATTTAACAAAAGGTTACAGTAGTCAAAGCCCCAACAAAAAGGCTTCAGCATTTAAATGGTTTTGGCATTCAAAGGAGAAACAACACATTTGGGTATTTAAATGCTCAACAAAAAGTTTCAACATTCAAAGACCAAACAAAGGCTTCGTAATTCAAAGACCCAACACAGGGCTTGATCATTTAAAGTCGCAACAAATATCTTCGGCATCCAAAAGCCAAAAAAATGCCTTGACAGATGATGGCCCAACAAAAGGCTTCGGTATTAAAAGATCCAACAAAAGACATCCACATCACCATTAAATGGTCCTACAAAAGTTTCGATATTCAAAGATACAATAAAGACTTTGTAATTCAAAGACCCAACACAGAGCTTAGGCATTTAAAGGCCAAACAAGTCTTCGACATTCAAAAGCACAGCGAAAGGCTTCGGCGATTAATGTCCGAACAAAAGACATTCAGTGATCCAACAAAAAATATCAGAATTCAAAGTTTCAGTAAAAGTCTTCAGCATTCAATGACCCGACAAAAGGCAGCGACATTCAAAATTCTAACAATAGGCATCGGCATTCAGAGACCAAAAAATGACTTCGATTCCCGCTGTATCTTTTAGGCGGATACATAAAATTGAAGAAAAAGTTTATGTACATGGAATTCTGAAACAGTCCTTTTATTTTTGTCCGAATTTCTTAGATTTGTTTATATTTTATACCATTTATATGGGCCTGATAATCCTATTCGTGCAACTCAAAAGAAACGAGACTGAATTTTCTCGCGTACCACGGCTACGCGTATGAAACCCGTGCCTACTTCGACGGCACACACTCGCTAAATGCAACAATCCGTACGAAGACACGTCCGTAACTAGGACCAGTCTCTCGCGCCTAAGTATCCCGTTCCTGCAACTCGAAAGAAACGGCACTGATTTTTCTCGCCTACAAAGGCTATGTGTACGACGTCCGTCCCGACTGCGATGGTACACATTCGCTTAAGGCAACCGCCCGTACGAAGACACGTCTCTCACTCAGGAGAGTCTTGTCGTTGAACTTAGTTCTCGGAAGTACAATATGTCACCAAATTCAGAAAACAACGGTTTTTGCCAACGTGGACATTGTCCCGTAAGACAACTGCTGGAATAAACTTAGAGCTTTAAAACTAACCTTTACTGCTTATTAGGCTACGACTATCACTACAGCTGCTGTCATCTTTTTTTTATTTCTGCTGCTGTTGCTGCTGCTGCTACTGTTGCCGATGTTTTGGTTACTGCTCCTATTGCGGTTGAAGACTTGCTGTCATTTGTCTTTACCTGTGCGTTACCCAAATCGATATACACTTGAGGAAGGCCGGATTGCCGAAACGTTGTGATAAAAACGACTAGGATGAAGAAAATAGTCCTTTTATTTGTTTTTGTTTTTTTTTTTGTTTTGTTTGTTTTTTTTACGGCCCTTCAACTGCTAGTGGGTTATTCAGAGCCAAAAACAGTCCTTTTAAAGAAAAATATGTGTTCGAGAAATTTTTATAATATTGCTCCAAAATATTTTTTCTTGGCTGGTACTAAACATGCCTGTTACTTCTCTCGTGTTAAACTCCTTGGGGTTGATCCCTCGCCCGGTAAGGGAAGACATAAATGACAGTTGTCACCTGGCCGTCATCCAGCGACTGTTCGCATCAAACAAAATATAATTCTCGGAACATGAAATATTAGAACATTAAACCAGTGTAGGCTTTTAGAAAAAATAAAACAGGAAGCGAGGAGGTTAAATATCAATATTTTAGGCGTATGCGAAACCCTGTTGGCAAGCAATCAAGATTTAATCACTAATTAAAACAGGATACGAGGACGGAGAGAAAAACTGCAAGAGGAGTAGGATTGATACTAGACCAAGATATGAAGAAATGTTTTCTGGGATGCTCTCAGCTATCGAAAATATTTCTTGTCGTTAAGCTAAAAGGAAAGACTTTTGACATATCCATCATAATTGTGTACGCGCAAACAGCATAAAGTACAAAAGAAGAAATTGAAAAGTTCTACTCTACAGTGCCAAGACTCAATGCAAATCACAAGAAATTATAAATGTTTATGGAAGCCCTGAATGCCAAAGAGGGATGGTGAAATATTTGGCAAAGTCGGGCTAGAACCCGTAATGAACGCAGAGAAAACTTGGTCCAATTGTGTACGGTGAATTATTAGATAGTAACCAACACCGGATTTCAAGAACACCCAAGACGAATATGGTCATGTCGAAGCCCAAGAGAAGAAACAAAAAATCAAATCGACTACATAACTATCAACAAGAAATTCAGGAATGCAGTTTTACACTGCAGGACATATCCAAGTGCTGACTGCGAAAGTCATCTCCTCTCAGTGATATCTAAATTTATATGAAACTATGGAAATTAAAGAAGACTAAATTGCAATACGACAGACTCTTGAATGACCAGAATCTGAAGGAGAGAAAAAAATGGACAGTATGAAAGCAAATACGAGGGGCAAAGGGAAGATGAAAACTCAGAATGGGACACTTTAAGAGAAGCTTTACTAACAACACCAATCGAGGTCATTCCAGAGGAGATGAGACGAAGAAAAAAAAATGAATGGATGACAGACGCAATTCTCGGTACGATGAAAAGGAGACAAAAGCATGCCAAGACACGGAACAAAATATAGGACACTACACAAAGAAATAAGGAACAAATGCAGGAGATCTAAAGAGGAATGACTCAACGAAAAATGTGCAGAAGTAGAAAGAATGATTATCACAAATAAATCAGGTATGCATAAAAAAATAAGAGAATTAACAGAACAAAAGATATGCTCATCAACGGAATGCCTAAAAACCACGGACGGAACGGTGATAGTAGAGAAGGAAAAATTACTTAAAAGCCTGAACGAATGCATCGGAGAACTCTTACACGAAGAAAGAGAACAACAGGAAATACATTGAAATGTCGGCGGACCGGAAATATTAAAATCTTAAGTGGCATCTGCACTAGCTAAATTGAACAGAAACAAAGCGGCAGGGCCAGACGGAATTGTAATAGAGATGTGGGCAGAAGATTTCGGCATAGACAAGATTACAGAAATAAGAAATGAAATCTACACCAGTGATATACCGGGAGGCCTAAGCAGATGTATTTTCATATCAGTGCAGGGGTAAACAAATGTGAAATTTATCGGACAATCTACCTGATGAGCTATATAACGAAACTTATTCGAATACTGATGAATGGAGCAAGCAGCAGAATCAGACTGGAATTAGGACAGGAACAGAGCTGGCACGTCAAAGACACTGAAACAAGGAACACGGCATATATGCCCAGAATATTTTAACAGAAAGAGCAATACAAATGCAGAAGGGCGTGTACCTGTGTTTTATAGATTACGCAAAGGCGTTCGACAAAGTAAGATCTATTTGAACTGCTCAGCAACCTTGAATAGTTGAGAAGGATATTAGAATAATCAACCTATACTGGCAGCAAACCGCCTGCAAAATGAGTTCAGCAGATATACAAATATAGAAAAGCATGTAAGGTAAGGATGTGTCTTCTCACAGGAACTATTCAATCTATACAGCGAGGCGATTCTGAGAGAACTAGAAGTCCCACTAGGATTTATTATTGGCGGCCACGATCTTAACAACATAATAAGATATGAAGATGACACAGTGTCGATTACAAACACAGAAAAAAAACTATAAAATCTCCTACGGAAGATAATGAAGGAAAGCGAGAAGAAAGGATTAAGCATCAATTGCAAAAAGACAAAATGCACGGTTGTTAGCAAAAGGATGAGCCCAAAGTGCGAATTTCAAATCAGAGATACCAGAATGAAACTAGTTCAGAAATTTAAATATCTGAGAAGTGTTTTAACAGAGGACGGAAGCTGTGACACCGATATCCGAAGACGTATTGGGATAGCCAAATATGCATTCCAAAAGGTAAGGGAAGTACTAAGAAATAAAAGATATTTGCTAGAAATAAGGAAAAGAGAACTAAACAGTTACGTGATATCTGTCCTTCGGTACGGCAGTGAGGGCTGGACAATCTCCTCAAAGACGACGAAGAGAATTGAAACAACAGAAATGTGAAGGATGCTGAGGATACCATGGATCGAACATGTGAGCAATGACGAAGTTTTAAGGAAAATGGAAACAAAAAGGAAACTAATACTTAACATCAGAAAGAGACAGTTGAGGTTTCTGGGGCATATAATGAGGAAAGAGGGCTTGGAAAATCTCATACTCACAGGGCAGATTGAATGCAAGAGCGACAGAGAAAAACAACGCATAACATACTTAGTGAGCTTCAGTAAATGGATGGCGGAACAGGGTTTAGAAGAAATGACAAAAAAACGTAATCTATTAAGAGCTGTTAAGGACAGGAAGTTGTGGAGAGCCATGATCGCCTACATCCTGAGTGGACACATCACATAAAGAAGAAGATGAATGTTAGCCGTTTACCCTGCAGGGAAAAATTTGGCATTCATTGACCGTGCAGTCAATACTCATATGAATTACTAAAGTACAAAACTAACTGCAAGAAAGGAAGGGTACTTGTTCATGGCTTGGTTATTTATTCAGCATATCTTAAATTTGGTACAAGGTAGCAAACACAAGGCACCCAGTGTGAATCGAACTCATTGCTCGGATAAGACCAGCTTGTTAACTATTACAACGTGACGAAGTACATCCAGAGATTGAAATAAGCCTCCATTTTTCCGAGCCAGGATCTCACTCCGTGCTTCGCTTAAAATGAGAATTACTAACCTCTTAGCTAATGATCCGCTTTTTTACCTCAGCGTCATACCAGCAAGTATTCGAGCTCCTCAAAATAAATGATTTTGTTTCTTTATCAGTCCACTTAATCGTAAAACTTTTCCCCCGAGTGGCGAAGGAAGAGGTTGAGTGGTGTGGGGTCGATCGTTTGATCGCGTTAAGTGGCCATATATCTATTTTGGGCGGGAAGAGTCGTTTGTTCTTGGACTTTGGTTGTAGTTGGGTAGTTTAGCGTTGGTTAGTGACAAAGAATAAGTGGAAGGAACAACAAACGTGAGTGAGATGGAAAGGTAAGTACAAGAGAGAGAGAGAGAAAGGGAAGTGAATATATAAAAGAGTGAGGAGAAAAAGAAAGATGAAAGTGGGGGGTGGCTAGATGAAAGGGATAAGGAGAATTCGAGAGATGAAAGTGAAATAAATAGGGAAAGGAAACGAACGAGGAGATAAAGAAATAAAAAGAAAAGAGAAAAGAGGAAAGAAAAGGGAGAAAGAATAACATAAGAGAGAAATAGAAAAAAAACATAGATGACGTTGGAGAGGAAAAATCAACGAAGAGAAAGAAAGGAGAAAGAGAATATAGAATGAGAGGGATACAACATTAAGAAAGAGACGTTGTCTAAAAGAGAGAGGAGAGAGAGAGAGAGAGAGAGAGAGAGAGAGTGTGTGTGTGTGTGTGTGTGTGTGTGTGTAAATAAGTTCAGAGAGAATGAGAGAGAAACAGAGAATGCAAATAGGCAGGAAGAAATATAAAATGACAGAAAGAGATTAAATATATTGGGATAGAGAAAACGAAAGATTAAATAAGTGTGAAGGGGGACAAAAATGATAGAAAGAACGTTGAGAGAGAGAAAGGTGGTAAATAGGCGTGAGAGGACGGCACGATAGAAAAAAAACGTAAAAAGAGTGAGATAGAGTGTGTTAAAAAGTGTGAGGGAGAGGCACAAAGATAAAAAAAGCATAGAAAGAAAGAAAGAAAGAAAGAAAGAAAGAAAGAAAGAACGTGAATATATGAATGAAGATATGAAAGTAACAGGGAACAGTAAAGGAATAATTAGAAAAAAAAAAGAGAGACGAAAAATGAGAGGATGAAGAAAATAGAAATAAATAAAAATAAGACTCGAAATAAAAAGGGGAATTTTTAAAAAGGGAATTAAAGACGAAAGAGAGACAGAGAGATTGAAAGGGAGAGACATTGAAAGAGAGGAAAAGAAAAATTGAAAAGGAGAGACTAAAAAGGAGAGATAAATTGAAAGAGGGAGTGATTGAAAGGGCTAGAGAGGTTGAAAGAGAAAAATTGAAAGAGAGAGAGTGAAAAGAAGAAAAGAAGTGAGAGAGATTGAAAAAGAGAGATTGAATGTAAAAGAGATATTGCAAATGAGAGATAGTGAAAGGGGGGCAGGGGATTGAAAGGGAGAAAGATTGAAAGAGAAAAATTGAAAGAGAGAGAGTGAAAATAAAATAAAAGAGATTGAAAAAGAGAGATTGAATGTGAAAGAGATGTTGAAAGAGAGAGATTGAGAGAGAGTGAAAGGGAGAGAGAGATTGAAGGAAGAGAGAGATTGAAAAGGGGAGATTGAAAGTGAAAGAGATATTGAAAAAGATAGATTGAGAGAGAGAGAAAGATTGAAATGGGCAGAGAGATTGAACGAGAGAGAGTCTGAAAGGGAGAGAGACTGAAAAGAAGAGAGAGATTGAAAGTGAAAGTGATCTTGAAAAAGAGAGAGTAGGAGAGAGATTGAAAGAGAGAGTGTGAAAGGGAGACAGGGAATTGAAGGGGAGAGAAAGATTGAGAGAGAGTGACCGAAAGAAAGAGAGAGACTGAAAAGAAGAAAGATATATTGAAAGAAAAAAAACTGAAAAAAGGGAGACTGAAAAAGCGAGAGAGACTTAAAAGGAGGGAGAAAGATTGAAACAGAGTGATTGAAAGGGAGAGAGAGATTAAGAGCGAAAGATTGAAGGGGAGAGAGAGAGATTAAAAGTTAAAGTAATTGAAAAGGAGAGAGATTAAAAGGCAGAGAGAGACCGATTGTAAGGGAGAGAGATATTAAAAAAGAGAGATTGAAAGAGAGGGAGAGAGATTGAAAGTGAAAGAGAAATTGAAAGGAATAGAGAGAGATTGAAAGTTAGAGTAAGTGACTGAAAGGGAGACAGAGAGTGAAAGGGAGAAAGAGATTGAACGAGAGAGTCTGAAAGGTAGAGAGACTGAAAAGAAGAGAAAGATTGAAAAGGAGAGATTGAAAGCGACAGAGATAGTAAAAGAGAAAATTGAAAGGGAGTGAGAGAGTGAAATGGTCACAGGTGATTGAAGCGAATAGAGAGATTGAGGGGGAGAGTGACTAAACGGGAGAGACAGATTAAAAAATAGAGACTGAGATATTGAGAGAAAGAGAGATTGAAAGAGGATGAGATTGAAAAAAGAGGGAGACTTAAAGGAAGAGAGACATTAAAAGGGGGAGAGATTAAGAAATAAATATTGAAAGGGAGATAGAGTGAAAGTAGAGTAAGAGATTCAAAAGAGGAGAGATTAAATGGAGAGAGAAATTGAAAGAGAAAGAGAGACTGAAAGGAATATAGAGATTGAAAGGGAGAGAATGAAAGACTGAAAAAAAAGAAAGTGAAAGTGAAAGTGAAAGGAATATTGAAAGAGAGGGAGTGAAAGGGAGACAGAGAATTGAAGAGGAGAGAGAGATTGAGAAAGAGAGAGAGACCGAACGGGAGAGAGAGATTGAAAGAAAGAGAGAGACTGAAAAGAAGAGAGAGATATTGACAAAAAGAAAGACTGAAAAGGGAGATTGAAAGAGAGAGAGGCATTAAGAGAGAAAGACTGAAAGGGAGAGAGAGAGATTAAAAGTTAAAGTAATTGAAATGGAGAGAGATTAAAATCGAGAAAGAGACCGATTGTAAGGGAGAGAGAGATTAAAAAAGAGAGATTGAAAGGAAGACAGAGAGATTGAAAGAGAAATTGAAAGGAAGACAGAGAGAGAGATTGAAAGTTAGATTAAAAGAATGAAAGGGAAACAGGAATTGAAAGGCAGAGAGATTATTGAAAGAGACTAAGAATACGAATTGATAGTCTGTAAATCTAAGAGAGAATAGAGAGAAAAATGAAAGAATAAAAATGATGATTTTTCTATGTGCCGTGTCCTTTCAAGATGTTGAGGATCATACTTCTCTAGAATTTCATGCCCTTTGCATTCCCCTTCATAAATTTTATCTTTTTATGATTTCCTTCTACACCCTATTCTGCTTTCCATTTACACAAGATCCTTAGGTAGTTTATACACTGTTTTCCTCTATCCCTCTTGCTTTCAATCCGTCCTGTGAGTATTAGATTTTCCAAGCCGCAATTTTCAACGGATTTTCACCAAAATTTACATGCACATGCTCCAAGTTAGCGGGAAGGCCAAAACCGAGTTTGCATTTCCCAGGCCCCATCGATAGTGGAAATAATCGAAAATGCTTCTACAGCAGTTTTCATGTAGTTTGCGGCCATTCATACTGGCCAGAGTGAGAGCCTATAGCTAGCTGCCACGAATAGGCAGGAAGATTCTATTGGCCAGCGTGAGAGCCAACAGCTGACTGACACGAATATTAACTATCATGCTAGCATGCAAAAAAATCGATAGCTGCATTTGTCGCAAGAGGGAAAAATTTAAATCTGCATGGCACTTTACTCCAATTGGCTCATTCGCTTGCTTAAACTCAACGTTGATTCTGATTCCGCAGAACTGGGTTGGGTGTTAAAAGTATTTGTTGTTAACATTCTTTTTTCATTCGGTTTTTCCAGTTACGAGTCCTTTTTTAAAGCTGATCGTTTTGTGTTCATTTTGTTTAGTTCTTTTTTCGTAACAGATTTAATGTTTAGTATAGAGCTTAGAAAAAATTCGCAGTGTGAGATAGGCAAGAAGTAAGGCATGTAGCAACATCAGCACAGCAAAGGGCACTCCTTTAAAGGCAAGGAAGGGCAAAAGTATTTTAAGTCAAGTGATAGCGATTGCTGTATGAGTCATACGATTTTTGAATCAAGCCCGGGCAACGCCCGGTCATGCTGCTAGTTTTCTCTAAAATTTCGTTGTTGCTCACATGTTCGCTCTATTGTATTTCTCAGTATCCTTCTGCATTTTTTGTCTTCTTTATTTGCGAGGAGTTTGTCCAGAATTCATTGCTATATAGAAAAACTGATGTTACGTAACAGTTTAGTATTATTTTCTTTGTTTCTAACGAGATTGGATGAAAAAGGGAGATAGAATAAAAGGGAATAAAAATTTGAAATATAGAAAAGAAGAGAAAAGGAATGAATGCGAAGAAGAAAGATATAGCATAAATAAGTGAGAGGAGGGAAAAGAGGTCCAAATATTTAGATTTCGGCATTAAATAACCCAGAGAGGTTGACATTCCGCCGAACCAAATCAACCAAGCAAAGTCACCGCTTTGGCTGTTGACTTCAAACTAGGAAGCCCTCCGCCTAGTCATGCTGTATCATCACTGATACTGTCATAGCATCCATAGCTATGAAACTCAGTCTGCCCCATTTTGCGATAAGGTTGTTGAGATATTCAGCCACCCACCCACGAGGGTGTCATGCGGCACAAGGCCTTTTTAATGTGGGCATTCCCGAGCCATTAGGCTCAGCCAAAAAATAGCCCATTTGAACCCGTATAAACGGGTTCAGGGTTGATTTACCTCCCGAAGGAGACTTCGCCCTTCGGCGTAGCCTCCTTCGGGTTCCTCTCCGTCCGGAGACAGAGAGTTGAACCGATCAGTCGCTCAGAAAGTATCTGGAGTGCTGACATGCAAGAAGGTACATCCGCCCTTTGATAGAATGGCCCAACTGATTGAAAGGATTAAGGATGCGTTTGAACACTGAGAAGGCCGAATGTGCTAGATTCTGGAGTTGAATCAAGGCCGTGAGAAATGCTGAGCGTGGCTTCTTTGAGTGAATTGTATTTTGATTATTATAACCTGTATGCCATTTTTCTATTTTTCCAATAAATTAATATTTGGCTTAAATATTCACATCGTTTTTCTTTTAATAATATATTGTTAAATTTAATCCTAATACTCTGTATGAATGCATAAGTTTTGTTTCAGAGGTTTGCGTTTGACCTAAAATGGTTTTGTATTGTCCGTTTGTAGGAAAGACTTTTAAATCACAGATACAATAATAGTAACGCCTTATAAAAAATATTTTGTCAGACGCCGCTAATTTTTATATATATATATATATATATATATATATATATATATATATATATATATATAAAGAAATATATATATATTAACGTAGTAAAAATTTGTTTATATCACTTATTTAACAGTTTTGTTTTGGTTTGAGAATTTAATTAAAGCTATTTGTTCAATTTTGGTGTTGGTTGTTGTAGTTCATTCTAACTATTATTTTGGCGGGAACAGTTTTTAATTTGGGATTGGTTTGTCTATTTATTTACTTGGATGAATTTAGGTCAATTTATTTTACTTGTATATTTTCTCTTTTCGGTTTATATATATAAATATATATTCTTTTACCCGTCACTTGATCTAATTATTTCAAGATGAGGTCGACTGTGCTTGCTCTCTGGCGATCCGTGTTCAAACCCAAGTGTCAGCTGTGACTCTTTATTCCTATATGATAAATGGTTTAAGTGAAATTTTATAATTAAACCATTTCAACTGATTAGTAATTTATTTTATAAAGATAATCTTATAATTTATAATACGTTTCAGAACATACTAATGAAAAATGTGCATTGTGGTGTGATGGATAACTGCTCACAATGAGAAATCGGGAAGAGCCGATTTCGGATTTGTTACATTCACTTACACGCAAATACCTTTGAGGAAGGTATGAACCCATTTCTTCTCCCCGCCCCCCGAGCCATGCGTAGAATAGCATGAAAGACTGAATCCTGTAGCCATAGTTAGAAAAAATTACCACAGAAAGAGGCGGTTACCTACTCCGGGAAGATTTTCTGCAAAGTTAGTACCATGTATGGCACTTAACTGACTGAGTAAATAAATGTTTACTTTTTCTTACATTGCTTGCTTCCGCTTAAACGTAAGCTGTGATCGAAATGCTAAGGACGTTGTCACTTCTTAGAAAATAGTTTTATTTAAATAATTAAGTAATTTAATTATAAAAGCTATTAACAAAACAATCACTTATTTATAAAGCTCACAAAGACTAGACTGGAAATGAATACCAAAATACAGTAACTTTGTTTTTAGCTTAATATAAAAATTAGTTTTCTCTATTTCTTCTAAGTTGTGCCAGATATAAGACACATTCTAGTGAATGTAAATGATGAAACCACATTTATTTCATAATACAGTTTTACGCAAGATCTCAACACACACACAGGGAGACAACATATATATTTAATTGTCTGTTTTGATCGCAAGCATGAACTTACCTTGGGCTTTGCATATTAGAAAATAGTAAAGCATTCATTCACTTTTGCCTTTTTTTTTTCTTGTGAAGAGGAAAGTAAATACAGGTTTTGGAATTCAATACAGATTTCACAACCACAGCAACCATCGCTTGATGTCGTTAAAAATATTAGAATACATTTCTTTATACGAAAAAAAGATGTCCGGGGTGTAAGAGAAGGATTAGATCCTCGGGTTAGTTTGTTAAATTCCTGTAGGCAGAGGAGAAAAAATAGATTATGAAAATGGAAAGGATTTTGAAAATCCATCAAAAGTTTGTCTAGACTAGCCATCATCCACTTATCCACTTTTGGCTCTGACCTGACCGGTGGTTACAATCACATTAAGAGGGGTCACAGACCCAAAGAGAAAATTGGCAGCGTACCACACCGCGTCGCGAATGGTCGAAGCCAAAACGGTGAAACGACTGCGATAGCATCTCATTCCATAATTATTATATTTGAAACGGGAGGGGAGGCGTAACTGTTATCAGCATCGGAAGACGGAATCGACGGAACGAGTTCAAGTTTTAACTGAAGTATTTTATGTTCATTTTAGAACAACGCTTTAGAGAAAAGAATGAATTTACGTCGCCCTGCGTTCTAGCTTCTCACGAGATGTCTTGATAAAATAACTCGTCACTAATATGCTATGACCTCAGAGAACGGAAATAGATGAGTAAGCACTCTCCCATGTCTACTATATATGCTGATGAGTCCCAAATATAGGACGAAATGGCCGTCCAGTGCTTTCTGCATTCTGTTGAGGTTTCTATCTGACTCGATGAATTAATTAAAATATAATTATCAAATCCTCCTAATAATTACTATCTATATATCATCGCTTGAACCGGCTTCTAATGCTCAAGAGTGAGCAGCTTGGTGAGAGTATTCGTGGCTCCAGGGGGCACAGTCCTATGGTTACAGAGAACGCAGTATAGTTCCATCACGGAATATGTGAGCGAGCGGCGCTTAGTTGAGTCTGATTTGCAATCTCTTCGTCACCGAAGCCCATTAGAACAGTTGGTATGATGTTTGCTTGACAACCTAACTATCCGGGTTTCAATTCTCGGTAGTGGATGCGCACTGCTGATGAGTCCCAAATATAGGACGAAACGGCCGTCCAGTGCTTTCTGCATTCTGTTGAGGTTTCTACCAGACTCGAATTAATAAAAATAATTATCAAATCCTCCTAATAATTAGAAATCTCTCTCTCTCTCTATATATATATATATATATATATATAGAGAGAGAGAGAGAGAGATAATTAGGAGGATTTGAAATAATCATAATTAATCGAGTCTAATTCGTCACCTTTACGTCACCGAGAACCGTTGGTACAGTTGTTATGGCATTTGCCTCCTATCGTAAATGTTCACGGTAGTG